TTCTTTACTTTATATAATTTTAATCTTTATATAAGATTTAAACTTATTCTACTTAATTATTACTTATAAATTTATAATATTTACTAATTTACTTTAATTATAAAATAAATATAGGAATATTACTATACTATTATAATTACTACTTAAGCCTGCTATAAATACTATATTAACTAGAAATACTGCCCTACTAGATACTATACTAAGGGCTAATTAATCTAGTTAAATACTAAGAATATTATAATCCTGTACCCCTAAAAGAAATTAGACTAGAAAAATTTAGGCTCCTTTCTTATTAGGAGGATTATTAGCCCTTATACCTATAAATTAGACTTACTTAAGAGTATAAAAATATATCTAGTATTTTATATTAAATTATTATACCTGACTATTAAAGACCTATTACTTAAATAAGAGGAAATTAAACTCTTATATATTAAAATTAATAGTATTAAGAAATAGGAGATTAAGGAAGTAGTTAACTCTTACTAGGATTACTATAGCTAAGATAATTACTTATATTTAAAATATATTATTAAATAGGTTAGATACTTTATTATTACTAAAATTCCTGCTAGCTACCTAGAAAATACTATTAAATATATTATTACTTATTATTATTACTATTCTAGAAAGCCTAGATCCTAGGAATACTTTGCTAGAGCTTAATTTAAGAAAGGGAATACTATTATAATATAGTTATATACTTATCTAGTTAGATTTTACTCTAACTATCTATTTTTATTCCTATATTTAAACTATATTACCCCTAATCTTATTATAGCTCTTTAAGCTATATTCTTATCCTGATCTAATCCCTACCTATTATACCTATACGCAGATAGCCTGAATATACACCCTGCTGTTAGCTACACCTACTGCCTGCCTGCTCCCCGTGACATATATAGTACTTTCTTTAGCTTTAATACTTTACCTAATTTTTAATATCCTAGAGGTATTTCTATATATATTTCCTTATTATTATTTATATTAATAAATACATTTATAATATTATATTACTTTAATTCTAGATTAAATTAGGCTACTACTACTAGGAAAGTTTAGAAAGATCTTACTACTAGAGTTATAATATATAGGTCCTTTATTAAATTCTCTTATTAATCTCCTCTTACTACTAGGCATGCTTTATATTTAGTTAGGTTACTATTTTAATTACTTTTATATATATATACCTATTTATATTCTAGTATTTTTATATACTTAGGTCTATCTACCTCTATCTATATTTTTATTATTTTATAACTAGCTAGATAGTCTTGCTCTACCTTTATAAATTCTTTAAATAATAAGTAATTTTTAACTTGATAGTATATCTTTAGAAAGGTTAGTAGCTAATCTAGATAGGTCCTAATTAAACTCTCTAGTTACCTATTCTATCTTTATATCTCTATTTTAGAGGCTAGTATTCTATCTTATTAAGTTAGTTATATTAACCTCCCTACTATAAATACTAATTTCTATATAATTTAATAACTTTTATTTAGCTTAGCTTTTTCTTTAGTTTTGGCTGTCTCATATTAGTAAGCACCTGCCAATATTATTGCTAATTATTCTAGGCTGCTACCTGGTAGTATTAGATAGGCTATTTACTTATTTATATTAGTATCCTTATCCTTATTCACGGCTTTAAGTACTAATCTTGATATTTAAACTAGATAATTAAGTAAGTTAAAATTACCTTCTAGAATATCCCCTATTATAGGGTAATCTATATTTAATACTCCCTAGATTAGAATATAAGTTTTAATTTTAATATTCTTAATTATTTATTTAAATTTATTAATTTTAATTATTAGAAAATCATTCTTTATTACTTAGATAAATATATCTCTATTTCTTAAGAAAAATTCTTCCTTATTAAATATAATATTCCTTATATAGATAATCTTCCTTTCCTTCCTTAAGTTCTATATTTAATAAATATTAATAGATTTATATTTTACTATATATCCTATAAATATTCTTAGATTAAACTACTTTCTATACTTTACTATTATAGTTACTTATAATTTAATTATTATAAATATCTTATAACTATATACCTTTAGGTAAGCTTCTTAAGGTTTTTTATATTCTATTACTATTCTATCTTAGTAAGTAATATAAGTATAGAATTAGTTAATTAATATTTTTTATTTTACCTAATATTTAGGTATTTAGTTATATAGATATACTACTATATAGATATATTCAGGCTATAAAAATATAAGTAGTTTTACTCCCTATTTTATTATATATGCCTTTTCTTTTATTATACTCCTTAAGCACTCTATACCTCTATTTTAGGCTAGTATATATAAAGTAAAGTAATTAAATCTTGCTCTTTTAAATTATATAAAGTCTTCTAATCATCTTTTTATCTTACTATCTAACTTAATTACTCAGGGTTTAATATTATATTACCTTTTTAAAAGAGTAAATAGATTAAGTAGGGTATTTTTAATTATCTCTATATATTAGTTTAAGAGGTAGTAATCCTATATAAAACCTAACTATCTATCTATAATTAATAGTAGGGCTTGATAGTTATCTATCCCTATCTTAAAGTTATAAAAGTTAATTACTAACTATAAATCTAGTCCTTCTATAGTAATATAGTCCTTTTAGTTAATTCTTTACTTTATTTTTACTATACTATAAGTATTATATTCTATTATAGTAGGTCCTCTAATCCTCACCCCCTTAGTATTCTTGACTAGATAATCTAATACCTATAATCCTAGATATTTAAGATATAAATATTACTATTTTATATCTCTAATACTAGTAATAGTTTAGAATATTATCTAGCCTATTATACTATATAATTTACTATTATATTTTATTATAAATTAGTTATATTTCTTATTAAGATAGGCTGCCACTATACCTTTAGAGGTACAGAGTAGGTTAAAGTTAGGATTATTTTTAAAATAAATATCTATTTAGTTTAATAATATAAGTAATACTAGATTATATATTATTTCTTTATAATAGACTATATTCTTAAGAATTATATAATTATATTTTATATCTTTATCTTATTAAATTATAATCTATATACTAATATCTTTATATCTTATAATAAGTATTTTTAAGTCTCCTACTTATATATAATTATCTTATATTAATTTTATATATTACTTAAATTAATATAAATTATTAAATATATAAATTAATAATCCTAAGTTAAAAATAATAAAATATTATAATAAGTATAATATAATTTTAAATTAAATATTAAATAAAGCTTTAACTTTACTTTTATTCCTACCTTTTATTTAACTTATTTCTTAATTATTTCTTCTTTCTAGTTATTCTAGATCTTATTTATTTTATTCTTGCTCCTTTATTACCTTTTTAGCTAGGGCCTTATTTATCTTAAGTTATATATTAACTAGCTTTCTTATTATACTCCTTTTCTTAAAGTCCTTGAGTATCTTTTTTAGGAATAGATAAAAGTATTATATCTATTTATACCTTTAAGAATATATATTATATAATTAATATAAGTTCTTAAAAGTACTCTTTTTAAAATCTATTTTTTCTATATTATTATATTTATACTTATATTTTATTCCCTTATCTTATAGTAGGAATATTTCTTTATTACTAGTTATATTTATTATATCTTTAATAGTAAATATTAATCTAAAAGCCCCTCTACTAGTCTTACTATATTATTACAGGAATATATTAATAGTATCATGAAAGTTATTTACTATAATATAGAATAATAGTATTCCTACTAGTATCTTCTTCTTATAATCTAACTAATAGGATATAGTCTAGGATAAAGCTAGATAATATATTATATTTAGGAAGTCTTCTACCTAGTCTAGTAATAATATTATAATTCTAAGATTTACTTTAATTACTTGTTAAATAGTAAATTCCTAGTTATTTAACTAATTAACTAAGTTATCTTTTAGAGATTAGATTACCTTTATATAGATATTATAGACTATATTTTAAATTTATTTTTAGTTAACTACTATATACTCTTTTAATTTAAGGTACTACTCCTCTAGAGTTTTTATTAGCTTATAGTAAAAGTAATAAATCTTTAGGGAAATAATATATTAAATTTATTCTTTTAATTTTTTAAGTTCTATATCCTAATAGTTATATTTATCTATTTCTATTTTATAAAGTACTACTTTAGAGTTAAAGTCTTATAATAATATTATAAAACTTCTAATATTATTTACTAGTAGAGTCTCTCTACTATCCCTAATTAATCTAGTAAGTTATTATAGATAACTCTTGCTATCTTCTATTATCTCCTATAGGTAGTTGTCTCTCGCCCGTGCTTTAAATAAGGATTACTATATTAGCTAGTCTTCCTGCTTGGTGAGCCTTACTATATTATCTTTATTATTAATAATTAAAGGTATTATACTTAGTATTTTACTAATTAATAAGTTTAGTAGGGGTTATTAGTATTTTAATAATTAGTAGGTTTTAGTAGGGGTCATTAGTATAGATTCACGTGCTTTAAGTAAATATAAGACTCTTAATTATTAGATATATAATAATCCTAGGGGTAGCTTAATAGAAGCAGGTGATCAGATATATTGATATATGTGTTTTAGGGGGGTTGTGTGCTTGCCTAAGGTCTTAATATAGGGTAATAACCCCCCCTTTACTTACTAAGTACATCACAGGATACATCTTCAATTCGACATGTATATTTAAGGCCACTGTTTCCTTCTAGATCTCCATGCTTCCTCCAAGCATCTCTCTATCTCCTAGTTAGACCCAAATTGAATTCATTTTGGTCAACTTTCTACCGTCATAGTTTGACGACCTCTCATCATATTACAATATATCAAGAGTCTTGACGACCCCACCCTCTATCAACCTCTTCCTCATGATGAAGAAGACCCCTTACGAGTCCTCCTCCTTCTCCTTCTTCACCATCACCATAGCCCCCCCCCCCCCCCAGATCCGTCTTCCCCTCAAACAACGCCTCAATCTCCTCTAATGTCTCCCCCCCCCCCCCGGTCTCGGGCAACAGCCCCGCGACGAAGAATGCGATCAGAATATCAAACACGCCAAACAGTAAGAACGTGGCCCAGCCCATGCCGGCCAGGATATAAGGGGGTGCAGAATGACCAGAGGAAATTGAACAGCCACTGGGAGGAGACGGCGATGGCGACGCCCGGCTCACGGATCCGGGTTAAGAAGAGTTCCGCGGTGCACGGCCAGGGGAGAGGACCCCAGGAGAGGTTGTAGATGGTGATGTTTACGTAGATTAAGGATATTGTTGTGATTCCGGCTGCGGGGGGGGCGGGGGTAGTTGGTGAGGTGGAGGGAGACGACGAAAAGGAGGGAAAGGGGGGGGGGGGGTGGATTTTACGACGGCGGAGGTTACGATCATGCAGAGGGACATGGCGAGGGCGCCGAAGGTGGAGTACCAAAAGTCACGCAGGAAGGAGTTAAAGGTGGAAGAAAACAGTCTTTAATTAACATAGCTTATCCATCTTCAGTGGCGAAGGGAAGGGTGCAAGAACCGATGACGCCGGAATCATAGCCAAAGAGAAGACCGCCAGTAGACACGCAAGGTAGATGATCCTTCATGATGATGCGGGTTGGGGTTGGAGGGAGATGGGTGGAGGTCAGCAGCTTCATGGAGGTCTTGACGAAGCTGCGCGTACGAGGACATTTTCCCTCATCTGATAGTTAGGGCAGAGATGAAGCTGTGGATGGAAAGGAGTACATTTTGTATCCCCGGCACGTGCCAGGAACCGGTCCCATGACGTCATGTGCCTGTTCTGGACCCTCTTGCCTAAACAGGAAGCGGAGCCGACGGCCGAGCTAGCGTCAGATGACACCATCAGCCCTTGCCCTGACAACATCAGCTGACCTGATTGGCTGCCAGCCTGCTTACATAACATGACATAGTTACCTAACTTAGGTACGGAGTAGGTACTCTGAAAATGGAGAAGTTCTCTGCATTTCACTATCCACAATTGACTTACTCTGTATAGGACTACATGCATCATATCTTTATTTATTATGGAGTACATGAGTGCCAGTGCTTTCTTCCTCCCAAATCCCTATCTTTTGGGTGGATTACCCGACAGCCGATAGACGATCGATGCCCAAGGTCGAGTACTATACATATAGCTCCAGCTGCAGCTTCGCCTCTTTCTCCCCTGCTTCCACTCATCCTATTCTCTGTCTCGAAAATCGCCGTAAGCAATGGCCAAACGCCCCAATTTCCTCGTCATCGTCGCCGATGATCTGGGTTTCTCCGATATAGGCTGCTTTGGCAGTGAAATCCATACGCCCAACATAGACCGTCTAGCTCAACAAGGCGTGCGATTCACCGATTTCCATGCTGCTGCTGCTTGCTCGTACGTTCTGACACTTGAGACGTAATTGGAGTAAAGAATTGAACCAGAAAGAAAGGCAAAAATAACAATGATAGTCCCACCCGCGCCATGATCATGACCGGTACTGATCACCATATCGCCGGTCTGGGCAACCTGATCGAATGGACCAATATCTCAGGACAGAATGGTCCTAAAGGCTCGAGCACGGACACGGCTCCGCAGCGGGGCATGCCAGGCTACGAAGGATATCTTAATGAGCGTGTGGTCGCCCTTCCTGAGATTCTGCGTGACGCAGGCTACCACACCCTCATGTCGGGCAAATGGCATCTGGGACTGACCCCCGAACGCTCCCCTCATAAGCGTGGCTTCGACCGTTCCCTGGCCCATCTCCCCGCTTGCTCAAACCACTATGCCTTCGAACCACAGCTCCAGGACCATGATGAGACCCCGACCTTCCTTGAGGCGAGCTGCATCGCCCTCCACATGGAAGACGACAAGTACATCCGCAAGCTTCCCGACGGCTGGTACTCGTCCGACGGATACGGCGAACAAATGCGCGCGTACCTAGCCGACTGGCACAAGAACAAGCAAGCCACGGGCGAGGAGAAGCCCTTCTTCGCCTACTTACCCTTCACAGCGCCGCATTGGCCCCTCCAAGCCCCGCGCGAGTACATCGACCACTACCGCGGTGTGTACGATGACGGGCCCGACGCCCTGCGCCTCACGCGCCTGGAACGCCTCAAGGCCCTCGGCATGGTCCGCGCCGACGTCGAACCGCACCCGGTCGTAGTCGACGAAGGGGAAGGCAACAACAAGCCCTGGGAGACTCTCACGCCGGACGAAAAGAAACTTTCCTGTCGCGCGATGGAAGTCTTCGCCGGAATGGTCGAGTGCATCGACGCCAACGTCGGCAAGGTTGTCGACTACCTCGCCTCCATCGACGAGCTCGACAACACCTTCGTCTGCTTCATGTCGGACAACGGCGCCGAGGGCGCCGCCTACGAGGCTTACCCGCTCGTCCAGAGCGGCGTCATCCCGCACCTCCTGAAATACTACGACAACAGCCTGGAGAACCTCGGCAACGGCGACTCGTTCATCTGGTACGGTCCGCGCTGGGCACAGGCCGCCACCGCGCCGTCGCGCCTATACAAGGCCTACACCACGGAGGGAGGCGTGCGCGTGCCTTTCCTCGCTCGCTTCCCGGCTTCGTTCGCCGGGCCGAATGCCACGGGCGGAGCAATCACCCACCAATTCGCAACCGTCATGGACCTGGCGCCCTCGATCCTGGACATGGCCGGCGCGACGCATCCAGCGCCTACCTACCGCGGCCGCGAAGTCGTCTCCATGCGCGGGAAGAGTTTTTACCCCTGGGCCAGGGGGGAGGCGGAACGCATCCACGCAAAGGATTTCATCCAGGGTTGGGAAACCTGCGGACGGGCCGCGCTGCGCTTCGGCGACTGGAAGATCGTGTATATCCCGAAACCGAAGGGTCCTGAGCGCTGGCAGTTGTACAATCTAGCCGAGGACCCAGGAGAGGTGCATGACCTGTCGGAGAAGAATCCGGAGCGGTTGGAACAGCTGCTGAAGCTGTGGGACCAGTATGTGGTTGAAACCGGTGTGATCCCGCTAAACCCCGACCTTGGTGAGTTTCTGGAAGCCACCGAGGCCCAGATGCCCGAGAATGCTTGGATGGAGTACGATTATTGGAAGAAGGGCGCGCGCGATGAACCGGAGAAGTATATGCGGAATCCACCACGGTTCCAGCGGGTAGTGAAGCAGTTTTAACTTTCCTCTTTTCATTTTCTGCTTGCTAAATCTTTGTATATATAAATTTGGAAAAAAAAAAAAAGAATATATATATATATATATTCGATCCCCCTACTTACTTCATTAAGTGCTCATTATAAGGGTATTATTATTATTATATTATATTATATCATCACAAAAAAATCAGCAAACAGCTCTCGTCGCACACATCGCGAATCCGCCCAGGTGTGCGAAGTATCCTGTCGCCGGGTCATCTCCTCCAGCAACACCAACGCCTTCGTTGCGTTGGGGTGGCGAGCGGCGGTGCCGCCGATTCCTAGCTCAGAGCCAGGCGTCCCATTTGAAGTGGCATTGGGGCTCACGCTGACACCGACGGCCTCCTCCAAGGCCGCCATGCGCTGTATCTCGTGGACGATAAACGTTCGTTGTTCCATGGATCCCTCCAAGCCCGCAATAAACAACGGCCACACAAAGCTAGCCGGGACATGCTGGTCTCGATGGGCCTCAACCCGCGCCAACTGGATGATCTGGTCCACGGCGCGGTAGACCCGGTCGGTGCGCGGGTAGATCGCAAACGCTACGCGGTGCAGATACACAAAGAGGGCGAGGAATCCCGCCACGTACTGGCGGAAGGTGCGGCAGATGGTGACGGCGAGATGGGGAGCGAGAGTGTCCAACAGGGCGTCGGGGCGTTCGTAGATGTCGAGGACTTTCGGGCGGCGGTTCCATAGGGTTTCGAGGTCTGCGCCGACTTGGTGGGCGATTTGGAGGACTTCGAATTCGTCGCTGACCGTGCCGCGCGTGCGGTGGTGCAGATCGATACAGACGATGCGCCGGGTGACTTGTTGCGCCTGGAGGAAGAAGTGGAAAGCGGGGCCCACAATGGCGTTGTAGATTAGGTAGCTGGGCTGTGTGGGGAGGAGGAGGAGGAGGAGGAGCGTGTCTGTATTTTCGTCTTCGGGGTTGGCGTTGTCGTCCTTGGGTTGTTGCTGGTGCGGAAGCGTTGCGGCGGTTGCGGTACATGTAGTAAGGGTCTCTGGTTCGGTGAGGTTGCCTAGTTCGCTGAGAGGGTCACCATCGCGGCCGGCGACAAGGGCCTTGATGTCGAGGAGTGAGACCCAGGATATTATGAGACGGGAAAAGCCGGTCCATGATCGAGTGCGGGGGTGGAAGCGCTGGAGGAGGAGATAAGCTGTATGGAGGTAGGAAGTTGGTGGACGCCATCCGTCAGGGGAGAGGAGCTATGTACTTCTGTCAGTAAAGACTCACGTAGGAGAACGATAAAAAGAAAAAAGAAAAAAAAGAAAAATAAGGGTCAAGTCAAGTACCTCAGCTAGCATAAGCAATAGCACGCCAGTAAACGCCCTCCTTAACACCGGCTCGCTCACCTCCCCAAACAAACATGACTGTATCTCTGTACTCGCTTGGTGATGATAGGTCTGCGCCAGCTTCCATCGCCTCCCTTCAACAAACGCCTTATGTATATCGGAATAGCAATAAATAGCCGGTAACAGCATCCGACAGATCCCCGACTGCACGGCTATGATATCCCTCACATATTTCCACTCCAGATCAACGGGCCCAAAGATCGTCGGCGGCGGTTGACTTTCCCGAAAATGCTCAAGCAGTCGCTCTTCCCACACAGTCCCTCCCGCTGAAGTCGCCGTCCTGGGGGACGACTCCGACTCGGGTATATTGCCCCCGTCTCCCAGTTCCCGGGGACCCCACGTCATCTGGCGCTCGTCGTGGAATAGCCCGTCATTAGCCTGCACTACTGGAGAAGGCGCCATTGCTCCATCATGCGTGAGATCGAGATGCTTTTGCTGAAAGTCGGAATTGATCTCACCGATAAAACTGAGCATATCGAACGGGACCGGGAACTCCACAGCACCGGAGGAGCCAGAAGCTGGCGGAATCGTATGAGTCCTGGGAGGCTGCTGTGGAGGGATAGGAGTCAGTTGCGAGAGCAAGCTGAGGTCGGACGCTGCTCCAGTTTCGCGAGGGCTCTGGGGAGAGCGAGAACCGATCCCGGGGATGATCACGCTCCTGTAGATACATTGCAACCGCAGGCGAGTGCAATTGGCACAGGTTGGTTTGACCTCGTCGCAGCGGACTTTGCGAGCCCTGCATGTGAGACACCCGGTACGACGACGGGGTCCTGACCGGCCTGGACCCCGAGCTTTGGGGGGGATCTGGATGAGTTAGAGACTACGCGTTGGAAGGGGGTATAGCCATACCTCCATACTCGGGTCAGTGCAGTTGTCTAGTTGGGGGGGGGGGGGGAGAGAGAGAGAGAGAGAGAGAGAGTGTGTGTGTGTGTGTGTGGAAGCTGCTGAAATATCAAGTATCATGGGTTCAATGGTGTGATAACAGTCATTTATTGCGGGGACGGTATACCCCGCATCACGATTCTGTATGCAGACTTGAGGTGATTCAGACTATATACAAGATCACATAGAAATTTGCAGCAGTAGAAAAGGTCTCTTATATCTATATCAGTTCCAAGTTCTTTTTTTTGTTTTGTTTAACCACCCATGCATTTGGATGTATGCAGCAAGTGTCCCCGCTCTCGCCGGACGTACGCTGCAAAACACACGGCAGCAGTCCCAATAGCCCCATAACTAATATACACCGGATACTTAAACTGTTCGGGGTGGGAGAATATAATCGTTGTCGCAAATGAAATCATTTCAAAAATACTCTGTAGCGCCATCTCGGTGGCCGAAAATTGGGCTCGATAGTCTGCTGCGATACCCTACATATACAAGTCAGATCCAAGCGCGTTGAGGATATTTGTTCGGCATGCTTACCTCTTGAATGAGAAACTGTACAGACAGATCGAATCCCCAGAGCCCCATCCGGCTGAGAGTAACACCAGCGACCAAGGCTCCCGCGACAAACTGGGGAGAGCTACGGTTCAAGACGGCAAAGGCAGCCACAGCCGCAGCTAAGCTACAGAACTGCCAGTTCAAGAACCACAGGCCAGATCGGATAGGCCCAATTCTGTCCATCAGGAAAGGAGCCGCCCAGGTTCCAGATATTTCTGCTAGCACAGCAGCAATTCGCATGCCACTCACCTCCAGCGAGGTGAAGCCAGTATGGAGCAAGTAAGTAATCATCGTCGGTCCGAACGAGAGAACAGTCAGATACAAGAGACTCAAGGAGAAGGAGGCTAAAAACACCGGTTGGCGGACGTACATCCGCCAGGGAGAGGTAGTCTTCTGGATAGTCTGGGAGTCTTTCCTGATCAGAGGGCGACGGTCCTCTGCGACGACGACGACGACGACGACGGCCTCCTCCTCGTCCTGACAGGTGACCCTCTCCGGAGTTCGAACCAGTTCGGGAACTGAATAATATACCTGCAAGAAAACGGATTAGCCCTAGATTTTGGTTTGAGAACAAAGGATAAGTTATTACCTGAGCAATTGCAAAATACTCCACGAGCACGCCCGCAACATTCACCCCCAAGACGGTCCAAATTGCGACCTTGGTGGAGAGCAAGCCATCCATCAAAGAGACCGCAACGGGGGCAACCAGCTTGCAGAAGAGATCAATTCTCCTCATAGATGCATTCAAATCTATAACCATATGAGATGGGGTTTGAATCATAGACACAAGAGAGAGAGAGAGAGAGAGAGAGAGAGAGCAAACCTTCTCTGGGAATGTGCAAAGCATCCGAGATTACGATGGCCTTGGGAAGTCAGACAAGCCATCAAAGGGATCAGAATACGTTCTCCGACATACCCAATCTCGTTCCACCGACACCGTATTCACTATCGAGGCCAGTTTCTCAACGCCTGCTAGCAGAACCAGTCCAACGAACAGGCCCCATTCCCAGTGCTCCGGTTGGGGTATCAACAGGACTGCCAGGAAGACACACGACACTGCAACCGGGATACGTTGCCAAACTGTTTTTTTTTTTTTTGTTTTCTCGTCAGCAACCATATTGAATCCGGCATGTATGGCAGAAAGACAGATGGACGTACTGATCGAATGCCGAATTGCTACCAAGCGGTCCATTCGGTCAACGAGAGACCCTAACCATGAGGATAACAACACAGCCGATAAAGATCGGATGAGTGCATAAAGCGAAGCAAAGAGCAATGTATCCGGGAAAATCGAGGCCAGGAACACGACGGCCCCGAATTCAAACATACGCGAGTTCCATGTTGATAAGAAGTGAGAGGTGTAGAGACGAGGCAATACGCGGCTTGGACGAGAGTCATCGTCCGCAAATGATTCGCTTTCCATACTGAAAATAACAACGACTAGAATGAAGGTGCATAGATTGTTTATATCCTCACTGTCCAATTTCGTAGGAATTTATACACAATGGCGTTAGAATTTTCTTGAAGAGAAAGAAAAAAAAAAAAAAAAAAAAAAATCCCGCACTGGTAGCCGACATCCGGCCTCAAGCCGACTAACTAACTACCAAGGTAGGTAGTTATTAGTCTTTTATAGAACCAAAAAGCTATCCTTTTCTCCTTTTAATTGGCTGGTTCGACTGTATACTAGTATATAGTTATCGAAGGAGGAAAGTTATACACCGTAGAGGTAATATATAAAATATCCTCGTGTCTCGTACATTCCGGAATAGTGGCGGATCCTCACTCAAGCGACTACGGAAGAGAAGAAATTGAAACTTATATATAGGTATATATTTAGAGAGAGAGAGAGAGACGAGTAATAATACAGCAGGTGGTGTGGTCCAGTAAAATCAATTGGCGTACCCCTAAAAAAATAGAAATAGGTAAATATACAGACAGCTCTACAAAATCAAACAATGAATCCCTAACTCAATCTAATTCCATTGCAGGCCCTCGGGGGTTTTCGTGGTTCGTCGAGCCAAAACTTCAGCGACCTTCTCTTTCACACCATCCTTATTGCCCCATTTGGCCACGAATTCATCGACGATCTGCTTCTGGGACTCCGAGCCGGCCCGGACAAATTTCTCAATCTCCTTTTCGCTGGGGAGTCCGAAGCGTGCGTGCGGGTAGGCCTCGTAGTCACCCTCGCTCAACAGCGACATCCGTGTCTCGCCTTCGGGGATGTTGAAGAACTCACTAACCTGCTCGTCGGCAACTTCACCCAACGTGGCGGGCTGCCACTCAGCCTGGCGAGCAGGCTTCGACACAAGGCGCGCCTTGACGCCCTCAACGAAGTCAGGGTGACGCATGAAGCGGGCGGCAATGTGATGTTCGCGTTGGAATGTCTCTGAGATGGACCACTTGCGACCAAGACGCAGCTGGCGAAGGGTCACCTTCAGAGAGGTGGGGGACCGGATAGACAGCGTCTCGAGGGTCTTCTGTGCCCACTTCTTCTGCTCTGTCTCCTGCTCCAGTGCTTTGATGATTCCCTCCACGGTGTCATGTCCGAAGCACCGGTCAATCGCCTTGCGCAGGCTACCGGCGAGCTGCATGGGCTCCTCCTGGAGGGAAGGAAGACCGGTGGAAAACTCGGCCATCGTGCGGTTGACGAGATCCAGCTGCTCGGGGAGAGAAGCGCGGTCCCGGAAAACCAGCTCCGACAGACGAGCCGTCAGGTTGCCCAGAGCGCTGGAATGGAAGTAGTGTGTGGCGATGCCGGTGTAGAGCGCCTGAACACCCTGCAGACGCTCCGACGTCAATGCCAGATATGTACCGATCTCTCCATCGAGACGTGGGAGAAAGAAGGAGCCGCCGACATCAGGGAAGAAGCCAATGGTCGTCTCAGGCATGGCAAACACGGTGCGTTCAGTAGCGATACGGAAAGGGGCATGGACGCTGAGTCCAACCCCTCCGCCCATGGTGATGCCGTCCATAACCGAGATAAATGGTTTCGGGTATGTCGCAATAACGTGATCCAACTTGTATTCCAGTCCGAAGAAATCGGTCGAGCGTTGTTGCCCTTCAGCGCCCTGTTCATTCTGCAGCGCCAACGCAGCCACATCCCCACCCGCACAAAGAGCCTTGGAACCAGCTCCAGACAGCATAATCACATTGGCTAGTTGAGATCTTTCCCACTCCTAGATAGACGTGTAGTTCAATGCTTAGTACAGCCCGCAATCCAGATATTATTATGCCAAAGAGCTTTCTCTAACCTTCAGCCGGGGGAGGATCTTCCGGGCCATCGAGCCATTCAGGGAATTGAGCTTCTTCGGTCGGTTCAGTTCCACCAATCGCACTCCATACAGACTGTTGAAGAGGACATCGTCGGCTTCGTCTCCGGGGAGTTCTTTGGGGAGCTCTGAGGCAGTCGACATCTAAGCACGCTCGATCAGTTTCACGCAGCTAACCACCTACAGCGCCAGGTAGAAGATCATGATTCGAACCTTGGAAGCCATTCCAAACGCTGGGTTGGTCACCTTAGCGCGAAGAGGCATGGCTATTGCAGGCGATATCCGCGAGACCCAGCTCGACGGCGTTGATCGAGACAAACTGTGACGAAGTAACATCGGTGCGAGGAAAGGAAAGGAAAGGAAAGGAAAGGAAAGAAGATGGATATGGAGGGGAAGCGATCAGGAATAAATAAGACTGGTTGGAGTCAATCAATAGTAATCGTCGTCGTCGAAAAGGTCGGTTTGAACTCCGCAAGTTGGGCGAAGGTTTTCGACCTCGGAAGTTTTTTTCCCTGCTTTGTTTCCGCGCCGAAGGAGAGCGAGAATGGCCGAGGATAAATCAACAACCTCGACGAGTGGAGGAGGGGAGTAAATGATAGATTTAGAGATTTAAATTGCCAGCTATCTCATGCTAATTAATAAAAAGAATAAATCATAAAGCAAAGTCGTTCATAGAGGGAGGACCTGGCCTACATACGACGGCACGGCAGGACAGAGAATCAAATATAATGCTCAAAGGAATCATTCATACAGAAATGTTAGAAATAGATCTATTGGTACATATATCCAGGCCACATGGGCTGGGAAAAGACGAAGCAAGCTACCCAATCCCCCTTAATACAACGCCTTCGCCGGCTGGTGCTTCAGATCCCGCGAGTGCTGAGCCAGAATACGGTCCAAAGCCGCCTTCTCCACAATCAATCGTCCAGTTTCCAAGAGATCCTTGACATCCACATCTAGACGGTCGAGGATTTTGGCATGTTCTCCCACTTGGCGCACCGTGTCAAATAATTCCTCCTGCGGTCGGTCTGTAATGAGCGTCGAGCGGCCAAACTCCCGTCCCCAGCGGTTCACCTTGAAAATCTCCTTGATCAAGTGCGGAGTCGCATCACTGGGAATATCAATCTCGTTGTCAATGATGATCAGCTGCCCTCGTCGATACCGGTAGCTGAGGGCAGTTCGCCAGGCTTGGTCGTATACCTTCTGAGGAAGTCCGGACGAAAAGTCGCGCGGATGGGGACCAAAGGCCACACCACCACCCCTGCGGATAGGTGACTTCTTATCACCCGCACGTGCCCGACCGGTTCCCTTCTGAGCGTACAGCTTCCGGCCGCTTCCATGTACATCGTCCCTCCATTTTGTGCTTGCTGTGCCTTGTCGGGTCATGTCGCCTTCGTAGACAACGGCTCTGTGTAGGATATCCTTCCGTAGTGGCATCATGAGGTGATTACGAGGGTATTCGACGAACCGAATGGGCTCCATGGAAGGGAAGGAGTAGGTGGTCGCCAGGACTGGCTGATTCCACGGCGATTGGGGGGCTTCTCGTGTAAGATTCTCGCTGGCGGCTGTCGAGGCCTCTGTGCTCAACGATCGGGATAATGGTTTGGCAAGGCATCGCTGCTATATGGCCGTCAGTCTATCCGGTCCTCATTCTCATGTACATTGCGAGACACCAAGTGAGGGAAAAGGGATCATACCGTGGTAGTCTCAGCCCCGGCAAAAAGACCTCGCGAGCTACGAGAAAGCCACCTAAGGGTGCCAAAGGCGTTTCCTCCAGCCATAGTGAGACTGACTGACGATTGAAGGAGTTGTAATTTTAATTTTATTATTATTTCACTGGTAGAAGAGAGAGAGAAGAGTAAAAGTTCGGTCGAGGCGGTAGATTTGGGCACTAGTGAAGTGGTGAGGCTTGGCCAAGAAATCAACCAGGAAAAAAAAGTTGCCGGCCAGAGAAGATCTCCCCAGCACTAACTGTCTTTCCCTCCATCTCTCTATCCCCAGTTCTCCCAGTTCCCCCCCCCCCCCCGGCAAACATGGCCCATTGTGAGCGGGCCTCAAGGCCTCTTCTGCAATGTCTCCAGAAATCATCTTTGAGGGGCCTTTCCGCCGTCCAGCTGCAGTCGACGCGGGCTTTCCAGACCACCGCTGTTGTCCGGGAGGAGGCTCAAGCGGAAACAAAGAGCCAACCGTTCTATAAAGCGCCAGATCCTACACTCGTAACAAGTCCTCGGTTGGAGCGCAGATTGATACGACAAGGTATTGCGCCGGTGGGATCTCGTCGACGTCGTGCCGCGCTCCAGGATTCGCCGAATCTACCGTTCGAGCAGCTGCCTTACCAATGCTTCCAGGAGGCACGGAAAGTTTTACTTGGAGATCGGGACGAGAAGCTGGAGGAAATAACCGCGACTAGTGAAAAGATTGCTAGGATTCAGTCGCTCCCACAGGACCAACTGATGCAACAAGGCACCAAGTCCCGACTACGCGCACTGGAGCTTCACCTAGAGAAGCTCACAGTCCTGGCGGACATCAATGATCCTCTTGTTAAGAAGAAGTTTGAGGATGGAATGGGTAAGATCCTGTCTTCTTTTCTGTCTTCTTTACGTCGAGGCTGAGTTATTGCGAATGTATTTAGGCGACATGAGCAAACCCATTTACCGTTACCTGGCGGATCAGAAATGGAGGGATTACCGCCGCAAAATCCTGGTCCAACGAATTACCCAAATGAAAGTGATCCCTGACGTTCTTCCTCACTGCGATCCTATCGTCGACACCAAGCTCTACTTTGGCAGAAAGCTCGTGCAGCCTGGAGAGTTCGTCAACTCGCAGGCCAGCAGCACCGCCCCCAAGCTGGACATACAATTATTCGAAGGTGGAGAGAAGTTGGTGACGATTGCTGTTGTCGATTCGGATGTTCCCAACGTCGAGGCAGACAGCTACGACTATCAGACACACTACCTCGCCGTGAACATTCCCATCTCGGCGATCAACACCAAGGTTGACCTCTCCCAGCTGTCAGCGGATTCGCAGGTGGTCCTTCCCTGGCTGCCTCCTGTTGCTCAGAAGGGCAGCCCCTACCACCGATTGTCAATCTTCATCCTGGAGCAGAAGGACTCTCAGCCGCTGGATTTTGCTGCCATCAAGGGCCGCGAATCTAACCGCGACGACGCGCTTCTTCGTACGCTGCAAGCACGGTACCACCTGAAGCCCATTGGAGCGCACCTATTCCGAACCGTCTGGGACGACACAACACTAGAAGTCATGAAGCAAATCGGCTTCCCGGAAGCGGACATGGAGCTCCGACGCAAGAGAGTCGAGCCTCTCCCTTACAAGAGAAGAAACCCGTCCACTTTCCGGTAATTCTTTCGAGTACACTATCACCTATTACTCATAGTTGTCTCCCCGTGTTCCTGCTCTATCATTATTTGCTTTTTTTTTTCCCCCCCTAGATATGTACTGTACAACCGATATGTATGAATATATTCCAAAATTCCTCCAACTCCAAACTCCAGGCCATGCATATTTGAACCCGAAAAAAAAAAAACGTAGAATATACACTGCCAAAAGCAAACATTACTCCTGCGAGACATCCTGCGCCGGTTGTAGCGTATTTTCCACCCACTGCATCTTCGACGGCGGCCAAACCCTCGCAATAATCTTCCCATTGACCAACGCCATAGGTATGGGCCCGTAATTCCTCGAATCCCTCGACCACGGAAGGTTATCGCCCGCAAGATAAACATGACCTTCAGGAACCTACACGGAGAACCCATTAGCACATCACAACCAGGCCAAATAATACCCCCCTCCCCTCCCCAAGTATAAGTAAAAAAAAAAAAAAAAAAAAAAAAGAAAAGAAAAGAAAAGAAAAAAAGAGAACCAAACCTGAATCATCTCCCCCCCCTTCCCAACATCCACACTAAATGCCAAATCCCGACAGACAAAATCCCCGGGCATCCCAATCACCCGCTTGGCCCCATGCACGCCCAGAAACGTAGGGTGGTAGAACCGCACCACGTCCCCGACCGCAATGCCCCTGCCGCATCGGTGCACCCGCGAAATCAACAGGTAGTCTCCCCGCGGGTTGAAGGTCGGGTACATCGAGGGCCCCTCGCTGAGTTGCACGGTGACCAGGTGTTCCCAGATAAACGTGCAGGCGCAGAACAGGCCGAGGCCGTTCAGGGTGGTTCGGAAGACGGTGCGCGCGGTGGTGCGTTTTAGGATTTGGCGGAGGAGGTTCTCCATGATGGCATTTTACCCCTTTTCTGTTTTATGGATGTAAATATATATGTAAATGGAAAAGGGGTGGGATTCTTTCTTCGTCTGGGGTTGTAGTTAGTTAGTTAGTTAGTTTACTAGAGCTCTGTAATCTGTCGGTACTCTGTAGTTACAATAACTAGTGTTACATTCCAAGCTGTTAGGGAAGTGGAGCTGGGACGTCACGTGCTGGCTGAATTAAAAGCGAACTTTTGTGGGCGAAATTTTCTTTCTTCTTCTTCTTCTTCCTCTTCTTTCTCTTATCCCCAGAAGGTATCAAACTACAACAATTATATCAATGCTCATGGACTATGGAGTGACGAGCTCGGTATCATGCTTTGAGAGAGAGAAAGTCGGTGCTTAATGTTGCATCTCATTCCACCTCTCCTCGCACTCAAGCATTGCATCCATGTATAACCTAATCATCATCTGAATCCTTCAGCCGCTTCTAAATTAGCTAGAGCTCACCGTTGCCGAAATAAACCACCAGAACGCGTGAGTGTGGACAGAGAAGCAAGATGAATCCCCCCCCTGCCAATTATTTGGTTAGGGATCCCTGAACGATAGCCCGGCTTGGACCCCATTTAACTATGGGAATGGGAGGCTGGGTGGTAACGACGGGAAACATTCATATGCAAAATTAGATAGTTTGGAATTGACTCAATTGATAATTATTGGATTTTTCTTCTTGGTCAGTAATTACATGGCATTCTTCATCTCGCGCAAAGCTGCCATCACCTGTACTGGGTCCGTCTTGCCCGTCTTCTTCTGAATCTCGGGGTCCTAATCGCGCACATTAGTATCGGGGGTGGTGCGTTCGCCGGTAGAAAGCTACTTACATTGACTCGCATGAACACATTATGAAGCTACCCAAACATTAGCCTTGGCCATTATACCGTAGAGTTTCGGGTGACCTACCTTCTCGTCACCAATTGTGAATTTGCCCTGCGTTTCCCGATTCTGCTCAGCGAATGCCTCCAGCTTCTTAATAGCCTCGGACTGCGAGACAGTAAGGCAAAATTTCACATTGCCCTTTGTATATTCATGACCAGGCTGGTGCTGTTAGTCTCCTCGTCTCCTTGACACTTGTACCCAAAAAAAAAAAAAAAAAGAAAGAAACCAAAAACATACATAAACCTTTGTATCATCCGGGAGAGAAGCCAATGTTTCATTCAACGCCTTATGCATCTCCGGTGCAGTACCTTCGAAGAATCGTCCACATCCTAGCCCAACCAAGTCAGCTGTGTTTCTATCCGAGACGCAAAGATTGCAGGGAAAATAATACAAAAAACATACCAGCAATGAACAGCGTATCACCGGTGAAAACAGCCTTGTCGTCACCATCTTGCATAAAATAGCAGATGCTATCCTGCGTATGGCAAGGCGTGTGCAAGGCCGTCACGGAAATGCGGTCTCCAATCTTGAATACCTCGCCATGGGCTGGGGTCTGAGTAACCGACTGGCACTGTTTCCCTCCGATGATGGGAACATTGAATGTTTTGAGCTGGATCCGTCAGTTCCATGCCTCTTAATGGGCAGTAGCTAATGGGTTGGAGCTCACCAGTTCGTCATTTCCGCCGGCGTGGTCCCAGTGGCTTTGCTGGTTAGCTCTCTCCATGCTCGAATCAATTCCACCCGTAATGACAGAGGGATCATAGGCACGACATACTGATGCGTATTCACGATAGCAGCCAGAGTGATCTTCCCGGCTTTAGTCTGAGCCTCCAATTCGGGGACAACTCTACACAACAATCAGCTAGCTTTCTTTCTCCCCCGTGTGCCGTGCCACCTAGATCTCATCACAAGACAAACTTACTCGGGCGGGTTAGCAGGGTCAATAATGACCGACTGCTTTGTCGACTCATCTGTCACCAGGTAGGCATAGTTATTGCCTTTTCCGGTCCCTGTCTGGCTGTCAGCTGCAAACAACAACCTAGCCTCACTGCTGGAGGGACAAAGAGGTCGGGGCATACACATAGGAATCGACTGGATATGCATGGCTCTAGAATGTGGTAAGGGAGAGGCTCTGACAGGGCAAACTGCAGTGAATGATCGGAACGCTCTTGCGAAGCTCATGGACGATTATGCTCGATGCAAAAGCCCATGCGGGGAATTAAAAGTCGTATGAGTAGAGCAGCCTCTTGTTGGTTAGTGATGGAACAGCTGGAGTACTAAGGGGGATTACCTCATAGGTTCGTGAGATTATGTGCATTAGCCACGTGTGGCGTGTGGCGTACACTATGTATGCCCTTTACGGATGTATACCTAAGGACCACACTCTTGCGAATGAGAAAAATAACCATCTATCATTAAAGTAGTGTGTATATATGTATACAAGAAAAGTAGGCTATACCACGCCCAAAGGCCGACTATCCCACGCATCCGCTGTTTCCCATCCGAATTTACTTAATGCCGCCAAATCCTCATCTTCATCCGTAGACGATGGCGCCTGGGGGAGAGCAGTCCTCTTCTCAGAAATCGCGGCTAGCAGACCATCATCCTGTCGATCGATATTTCGCCCAAGGAGAGTCGTCCAATGGTTCGAGCTACTCTTGCAAGCAGCCAGAATGTAAGAATAAGATAGAACCTGCCGCCTGGCACCCCACTGCGACGACCGGAGTATATGGTCCAGCCATATATAGACACCTTCGCAGTAGGGATCGCTCTTCGGATCCGACGAGCCTGTGAACGCCAACTCATCGATCATCCTCTCCGTCAAAGTAACCAGGAAACCCGGATACCCCTCGGCAATCATCTGGAGAAGCGAGTCCCATTTTGCAAGATCATCGGCCATAGAATCTCCCAATCTAACGAAGCCAAAGTCAGAAAACCCCTTTCTCAATAGAAATAAACACAGCTAAAAGAGAGAGAGAGAGAGAGAGAGAGAGAGAGAGAGATAAGCGTACCTCCGTCCCTTAGGAACCAGGATCGAATCCCGCAACATAACCCTAACCAACGCCGCAGTCGCCCCCCTAGACCTCTTACAAACCGACACCAACTCCGCTCCAACAGCAGACAAATGCTGCTGCCGCACTTTCCTCTTCTTGCGCGGCGGCTCTACGTCCTCTCCACCCTGAACAGCCTGATCCAAGAAAGCCCGCAAACCCGACACCGTTGCACTCGCACACCCAGCACTGTCGCTTTCATCTCCATCCTCAACGCCCTCGGCTTCCGCCCCAGCTCCAGAAGAGACCGAACGAAGACGAAGCGGCGCAGACAAAGCCGCAGGCCCATGCTCCGTCTTCACCCAGTAGTAATCCCACAACCACTCCAGGGAACGCAGCGTCGAGTTCCGTAACACAGTCAGCGACGGCAACTCGCGATGCGTGGCTTCGTGGCGCAGCTCAACAAAGGAGGCAGGGAGCCCTAGATCCAACGCTCTTTGGAACATGGTTCTCCGCTGGCCGTGGAGTTTGGAGTCGACGAGGCCAGTTACGAATCTAGAATTTTGATCAGGGACTGCTTTTCTTCTTCTTCTTCTTCTTCTTCTTCTCCTCCTCCTCCTCCTCATCTCCCCAAGGGGCGGGGAGGATACAGAGGGAAGCAAAACCTACCGACAAAAAGCAGCAGCATAGGTTGCGCGAATCGAAAACACCGAGTTTTTCAGCGCATCGTCATGCAAAATCGCATCGGTCAGGAGAGCCGTCGCTTCAACCGGGTGTGGCAGGTTGCCTCGTAACTTCCAGGCGCCCACCTTGAGATTCCAGTCAGTTATGACCAACGGATTGATGCATCTAGTCAAGGAAAGCAGGCAGGCAGGCAGGCAGGCAGGCTTTCACGTACAGTTGCGCAGGCTTGCGAGCGCATGTCGGCCCCGTCGTAGTCTGGGGAAGGGTAGAATTGGCGTCGCACAGCGAGCAGCTCGGAGTGCCGTTTCCACGGCGTGAAAATGACTTTTGCCATTTCTGCTTCGTGCTACTGCTATTCTTGTCTCGAAAAGGAGTTGGACATCTCATACTTGCACTTTGTCATGAGTTGGTGAATTTTATGATCGGGGAATAGTTTTTCCAGCCGAGGCTTTTTCTTCCCTCTGCCGCCGGGGCACCTAAGGTTCCAAGTTCCAACTGCTTCATCCCCTTAATCTTTACATGACGAACCTCGAGTGGAAAAAAGGTTGACCTAATAATGTAGCCTTCGCGGCATTCATTGGTTCGATAAAATAAAAACTCTTCTCATACAATTCTTTAAAATAATAACACAATCCATTTCAAACCACCACTCCTGGGTATCCCTTGCTTTGTATGCTAATGCTGTGCCATGATAAACAAAAAAAAAAAAAAAAAAAAAAAAAAGGTCAAAACTCCGCGCTATGCGAATAGGTAAAGATAAAAAATAAAGGAAATAACACAAAGAATACACCTTATCAGCTAAGTCAAACCCATCCATATCCATAATTCATGCAAGTGGCTCCTATGTTGAAGGAATGTCGCGATTCAGCTATAGAGCGTTGCTGGAAGTCATCTCCATCGTCAAAGAAAAATGACTTGTGCATCATACTCTCCGCGGGCTTAGTCGGCTGCTTCTGTGGAGCGTGCATCTCGTTTGGCTCGTCTTGGTCGCCTTCCGCATCATTATCATCCCCTTCATCGTCAGAGGATGGGGTGAAGGTCTCTTCTAATTTTAGTCCCTTGCCATTAAGCCCGTTCAGGGAGCCTTCCAGGAAAGTGTCCGGATCGGTGTAAAGTCCCATTCCAACGAGTTCATCCTCATGCTTTTGCTTCCCTAACACCGGTACAGACTGGGAATCAGAAGCATCACCGAATTGTTGAATGGGAAGAAAGTCGGGGGTGGACGGTTCAGTCAAATGTCCACTGGATGACACGCTTTCGTAGTGAGAGCCCGGGGCACCAACAGAGGGAATGCTCTGATGCATCGACATCATGTCGAACGCCCAGTCTTCGGAGGTCGGCTGTACAAAGGCAGGGAAGCCAGATGCGGGGCCCTCCCAAGAAACCCCTTCGGCTTGCGAATTATCCACTTGCAAGAAAGACATATCTTGCATGGGCAGCTGGGGTTGCGTGGTGGTGATGGGAAACGCTTGCTGCGGCATGTGAATTTCTGAGGGAACAAATGCCTGCATCATACCCTCATTGCTACAAGGGGGAGGTGTTGTCTGCAGTTGTTGAGAGGGACAGATCTGCATGACAGGGAGACCGTGCGTGGTGGTTGTGCAAGGTGGATAGTATTGCGGCGTTATGTATTCGGGTTCTCTAGATACCGGATGCCAGCTAATCGGTCGAGCCCGTCTACCCCTTTCCAATGTGGAGGCCAGGAGGGCAGCATTCAAAGCAGTTTGGTACTCTTGGGCTGAAAGCTGCTGGTACATCGGCGAGCTGTAAGGCATAGTGGATGTCCTTCGCCTGCCAGCAGAAGAAGGACTATTGCCGGCGCTTCGAGGTTTGGTGATGCGGCCAGTCTGCCTTGGTTTCGGAAACGCATACATCAGGTCACGAAAAGTCGATGGGCGTACACATGTTTGGTTGTTTTGCATCCACTGAGGGCCCTGGAAGGCGGCCTCAGGTTGCCAACAGTCGGCCATTGGGGAAGACAGTCGTGATAAGAGAGGGGAAAGGGGAACAGAGAAAGCCCTGTAGGTGACGAAGGCTAGTTCGGGAGGAGACGAGGATCAGTTGTGGTGTGGTGGAAAGCGTGCGATGGTGTAGATATACATAGTTATCAAAAAGAGGGAAAGCAGAACCAGAGCAGTGGCAGGAAAGGAAAGGAGGGTTTATTATATGAAATATCAAAAGCGGATCGGATCCATGGGTGACTGCAGGAATATGCAAAGGATCTCCGACTAAGATTGGGGTTCAAGACTGATCATTCAAAGATGACACAGGGGGGTGGATTGTGGAGGGTCATCAGGCGAGGCGCTGAGGCAAGGTACGAAGACTGGCAGTTCCATACAAAGTTACGTACGAACTGAATCGTGGTCAAGTAGTAGCAGTAGCACTACTACGGAGTACTAGATACTAAGGAGGTAGCAGACCCAGTTCCTGGGTAAGTAATTGGGCCAGATCGTCGTAGGAGAATTCGGAAGATAATCACTGGATACACCCCAGTCATAGTTCAGCAGAAATTAAAATAAATTAAATTATAAATGTAAAAAAAAAAAAAAAAGACAAAAGAAAAAAAAAAAAAAAGACAAAAACATGAAAATGTGGAACGTATGGGAGAGACCTTGTCCATGGACATGGGATGGGCGCATTTCTTGATCTACCGCCCCAGCTCCACGATCCCATATGAAGGGAAGCTGAGTGGATGAAAGGCACATGTTGGGGATGACACCAACATTGACACTACGAAATGAGACTAGTACATGAACGACTCGGGAAGGAAGGGGCGAAGGAAGGGAAGAAAAATCATAATTAAAATAAAATAAAATAAAAAATGATGATGATGATAATCATGGTGATGATTTCAGAGGAAATGATTCAGATGGAGCCTACTCCGTAGAGGGCCATGCCAGTGCCACACGACGATGGGACTGACTCCACTCCAGGATTCGAAATGTTGATTGGAGAACTTGAAGTAGTCTGGGATATGCCGAAACTAACAGCAAAGTAAACTTCCCCTACCGTATGGCCCGTGTGAGCCCCAACTCTGAGACTATTTTGTCCATGTATCATCTGTATTATACCGTACTGGATCCTGACCGCGGAAGGAGAGATTAGACACCCGTGATCAGTTTCGGTGGTTTACATTAAGGAATGAATGGGATGGAGGATCTTCCTATTTCCCCTATTGATATACCTAGAATAAGATACCAACAACTTGGACATAAAAAGAGGCATTCCCGATTAGGCAACTACTTCGTTAGCCGTACAAGCATACCTAAAAGTTACCTCTTGAGTACTATAGGGACTTATTACTTAATACGGAAAGAAAGAGGCCTCGAATTCAGTACTCGGTAGGTAACCAGTTGTACTGTATAATTACTGAGCTCAGGTAAAAAATGAATCCCTTCAACCCCTCCTTCAACTCTTCTCCCTTCAAGTTCCGTTCTTGTCCCCACAAGTTCACCGTTTCCAACCCGTCACATCGCCGTTACGCAAGGGTTACAAATAATAATAATCTCCTCTCACTTCAATCAAGACTCCAAAGGTTACTACTCCCTACTGACCAGGGTTACCACAGGATACATTGCCTCCGCCCCATTCCTTCCCATCCTATCAGCCTCGTAAAGTCTAAAGTGTCCACAGTCCAGCCAGCTCCTTCACGATGGTCGGGCGCATCGACGACAAGGTTGGAGTTAGAGACACGCTTAGACTTCCTTTCAATGGTAAGAGTAATTTGTTTGTCACTGTTAAGTCTTTGCTAATCCAACATCGGGTCCAGGTCCGTTATCATGACTGATTGAAGAATGGCAGGAATCCTCGGGGTCTAGTCCCAGTTGAAGGGATTTAAAAATAATATAATATAATAATAAAATAGCTTAATCTAATTTAATCATGAGCCGACCATGATTCTTTCTCTTTCTTGGCCTAAAAGGAAATGATGTGATCATTGATAAACCCATCTCTATCTGATATTGATTCAGTATTATTTGCTGGGTATGGCAGGAACCACGATTTCACATCTTGCACACCACCACCATTCCCACTCACTCTCAGACTTCTAGATCCATTAGTTGTATCGGATATAATAACAATAATTTATTGACCAAGGAGGGGGGTTTCTCTATCGACTACCCTAACTACCTAATCTTCCTTCTGTGGAGCCCCTCCCAATCTTTCCCTTGTCTAAGACTCTAACTAAATGTCACCAGACACCAAACTGGGACTAAAGAAAAATAATAAACGGAAACATCGGCTACAAACACAATTTTCTACCGCGCTTCTAAGTTGGGACTTGTGAGGATGAAAACCAGAACCAAGACAAGACACCAAATCCGCTCAGACTCCAAAAGCTCTTCCTGCCTGCAGAGTGGGGGGGTGCAGGGTGCATTCGGACAGAATTTTGAAGATATCCCTCGATCATCCTCAGCTTGACTATGCACCCTGTCATCGGGTTGGAGCCAAACTAATTGATTTCAAGGTACCAGTCTAGGATTTAGAAGGGGGAGACTGTGACTCGTCTAGCTGCGTCCTGGAGGGGACAACATATGTACTCCGGCCTCACTATCATCATCATCACTGCTCCTACTTGGCATTTGCAGTGCCCAAGTAGGACAGGTGACATGCATATCTGGAGTGTTCAACACAAGCCCCCCTTTTCATCTGGAGCACCTCAGTCCTAAAGAAGAACTGCAGGAAGCGACCTACAGAGTACTTACTCAGAGTGCTACCTCTTAGTTAAAGGACAGTTAGTTAGTTCGCGCCCGCCTGAACTAGCTGAAAGGATCGGCTCAGAAAAAGAAGCCACAGGAAGAAGGTTTACAACTGACAACGGTTCAAATGTGATCAGATCGTCGACACTCTCTTCTGCCTATCACTCTGCTCATCACACCATTACGGAGTACACAAATTGTTACAACTAACAACTCCTATACCGAGAGCGTAAGCAAACCCCAGTTTCTTAACCTGCCTCTTGTTCTTGGCACCGCCGTTTCTACCAAAGTCGAGAAAAAAAAAAAAAAAAAGAGAGACCAAATAAAATAAAATAGAATAGAATAAAAAACTTCCGTGCGACCTTGACACGATGTAATCGACATCATCGAATCGACTAATCGGACAATTGAGATCATCGCCCGGCTGTCCTACAAATCAGAAGCCGGAGATTACAGGAGGAGAACCGGCGGGAACGCATGCGCGGGGCCCAGCTCCACCAAAGGGGGGAAGAGACAGAGAAAAAGAGACGAACAAAAATTCCAGAAGGTCAGGGGTCGAGTCAGACTCAGAGTCATTTCTTTTAACAACAGAGTCCAAGTAATACATAGATGGTGGATCCTTTTTTCTTTCTTTTTTTTTTTTTTTCCCCTTTCTGCCGACAGTATCCCTGGGGCGAAGATACGAAAGTCAGTCTAACCGCCTCCAGCAGTCTAGTCAGGCTACTACATTCTACCGAGGACTCCGTACAGGACTAGAATTCAGGGAGTCAGAGTAAGTAGGGTGAGCTAACCTTGGAATCAGACATACCATTGGTACATGGGCTCCCTTTAGCCCCTAGTTCTTTGGTCCCAAGTGGGGATACCTCTCTGTCGCTCGCGGACGGAACCTTTTTAGAGAAGCCCAGCCTGTGAACGGAGCACTTTACGAGTACCTAGGAAGGGTTGGAACTTGGAACCTTGTTGAAGTACCTCACTCCCCTTTAGCTGAGGATTGCTGACCATCCATTATTGCGCCGATCGTTTCCAACAAAGAGAGGGCGCTTCGCTCCGTTTGCATACGAGAGACAACAAAGCATGCGTGTTGCTTCATGGCACTGAATATCCATACTCCTTTTCATATTACCTGTGCCACTATTCCTACTCTAGGTAGGTCAGTAGGTACAGACTACAGAGGACTCAGGAGTCGTTAGTTATCTCGTGCAAGGTTCGATTCTTTCCTTGACCACTTCCCAAGATGAATTCCGACTATGTCTGCGGAGTATGGTTACAACTACTGCTCCGCTTGTAATTAAAAAAGAAACTACTAAAAATTTGGTCGAAGAGACTGACTACCTACCTAAGTAGATTCGAGTCCCAAGCCACCCAGAGCATCCATACGAGTTCCCAACGACGACATTTCCGTACCAAGTGAGAGTATTGTCGGGGTGGCTCAGCCAAACTAGCCCTGGAAACCATAGCCCCGCGCGGTTAACCAACCCCGTAAGATGACAGCAAATGGCGGTCGCACCGTCCGAGACAAGAGCAACTATACTCCGTACTTAGGTCTGGCAACAAGGTAGACTAAAAAGAAAAGAAAAGAAAAGAAAAGAAAAGAAAAGAAAAGAAAAGAAAAGAAAAGAAAAGAAAAGAAGAAAAATTTGAACAGTATTTAATCTATTTTACTCCAGGCCCAGCTCCATGGATTCCCAAGGATGATTTATCAAACCATGGTTAGGCCCGAGCGCCCACCATCAACCCGAATTCGAAATATAAAAGAAAATAATACAGAAGGAGGGGGAAGAAAATTTCGAAAGAAAAGAAAGACAATATTGGCGCTAATCAACTTGGCTTACCTTAGTGGCATGTCATCAGCCCGGCTTCTCTATAGTTATCTTTCTATGGTGAAACCAAAAAGTTTGGATCTGATATGCCTTGAAGCAACCAAGCAATCAAATTATCACATGTGTGCTACCATATGATTTATTTGCTATTGAATGATATTTCCAGGACTATTAACTAGTTAGCTAGCAACTCTCTCCATAGAAATAAAGAGAAAGAAAAAAAAAAAAAAAAAAAGAAAGAAAGAAAGAAAGAAAAGAATCAGAGAAACAAATGTGACATGGCAGAAGTTGGTCCGCCTTGCTCCTTGAAATTGAGATCCCGAATCCGCCTGCCTGCCTGCTCCGTGGTAAAAGTACTTACTACCGAAGTAGGGATGGATTCAATGCTTAGGCTTGCTTTCCCTACAGAGTAATTTGCCAGCTCACTAACTGGAGTAGGTAGGAGGTTGCGGCTCGCCAGGTCGCCAGGTCGCCAGGTGGCTACCAAATTTGACGAGTTGGGACCAGGTAGGACTGGTAATGACCAAATTCCATTACCATACGTGACAATACTAGTAGTAAGTTAGTAATATATTCTATAAAGCTGCGGGATTCAAAATCACCTATCTGGTAGTACTGGTTATGACCAGTCATGCCCAATTCAAGTGGTAAAATACCACCTGGCGAGACAAGATTTGGTATAGTATACTTTTCATGGTATAATACAGTATATTATTTCTAGTCTTGACTAGTCAAGACTAGTCAAGACTAGTACTTACTTAAGTAAAATATATATCTAGATTAGATTATTATAATTAGTTTTAAAAAAGAACTAATCTTATTAATAATTACTAGTAATTACTAGAATTTCTAATTTTATTAGTAGTTACTAGTAATAACTAGAATTTCTAATTTTATTAGTAGTTACTAGTAATTACTAGAATTTCTAATTTTATTAGTAGTTACTAGTAATTACTATAAGAGCATGTGATTCAGGCAACATGTCTAAACTATTAGACTAAAAGGTCACTATGATCAGACCTAATGTCTGATCTGCCCAAATCCCACCTTATATACTCTAGCAATCATTGCCTTAGCACCAGTACACCTAGTGCACGCCATGATAATTACTAGAATCTTTAGTTACTATTATCTAGATAATAAGATATAGATTACTAGAAAAGATTAGTATATATTTATTTTTATTAATTATAACTAGAAGTTCTAGTAATTACTAGTAACTACTAATAAAATTAGAAATTCTAGTTATTACTAGTAATATCTAGTAATTATTAAAATCTCTAATTACTATTATCTAGATAAAAGATATAGATTATTAGAAAAGATTAATATATATTTATTTTTATTAATTATAACTAGAGGTTCTAGCCCTACTAGATATTACTAGTAATAACTAGAACTTCTAATTTTATTAGTAATTACTAGTAGGGCTAGTAATACTAGTAATAACTAGATATATATTCTACTATAATATACCATAAAAAGTATACCATATGTCAGGGGGCAGAGTCGGATTCAGATATTCATTGACTAGGAGCTAACCAGACAGAACAGCAGAACAGTAGGTATCAGGTAATAGACAGGACGTAGCTTGAAGAGCTATAACAGGATTAAGGACAACATGGCTTAAATATAGGAATAAGGGCGGATAGTTAAGGTAGAATCTAACTAGATAGGTACTATGGCTTTGCACTATAATAGTACCCCCCTCCTTAGAGTCAAGCTCTATTAAAACTAGGGAGGAATCAGCTAGGGTTTCTTAGGATAATAAAAGTAGTAATTATTTACTAATTAGTAGGTATTTTCTAAATATTTAACAGGCTCTTTAATTAGCTTATTATATTTAATCTACTTAATAATATATTATAGCTTAAGTTTACTATAGCCTTAATAAACTTATTAGAAATTAAGAACTTCCTTAACTTCCTATTCTTCTAATTCTTCTACTTTAATAGATAGTAGCAGATTAGGATATTAATTAAGTAGAAGATTATTAGTAGTAGGGCAGAGTAAAGATATATTAAATATAAGATAAATTCTTATATTTTTAAGTAATTTAAGTTTATAAGTATGTAGGCTAATAATCTTCTTAATATAATATAGCCTAAAATTCTTCTAGTCTAATTTCTTCTATAGGCAGAGTATTTAGATATTACAGGTATCTAGCTAGACTTCTTGCCCTATAGTATAGTAATATGTAGGTTATCTTTAATAGTTAGCTTGTACTTTATAACAGGCTTGAGTAGATAGAATCTTAATATAAATAAACTTATAAATCTTGTATATAGTATTAGCAAACTTCTTAATATCTTTCTTAGTAAGATAGATAGTAGGATAGCTTAGTTTAAATCTTAATATTAGGTAAAATTTATAGTTAGCCATAAATAGTAATACTCCTATAAACTTGGAGTAGATAGAGTTAGTAATAAACTTAATTATTAATAGCTATTTAGACTAATTATCTTATAAGTATAATATATATACTTGCAAGTATTATTCTAAAATAGTATTAATATATTTAATTTAGCTATTAGTCTTAAAATAATAAGTAGTAAATAGTAGGTTATAAATCTTTAAGTAAAATATTAGGTATTTTTAGAAAGTAGTAATAAACTAGATTCTATAATTTAATATAATTATTTTAGGGATATTATAGAGCTTCTAAATATATTTAAGGAATAGATTAGCTACCTCTTTAGTATTAATTATTCTAGTATAGGGAAGGAAGTACTTTATCTTTATTAAATAATTAATTATAACTAGGATAGTATTATAACTATTATTTAATAATAAATATATAATAAAGTCTATGCTTATATCTTACTAGGCATATTTAAGAATTAGTAGAGGTCTTAGTACTCCTTACTTTACTTCTTAGGAAGAGATAATTTAGTAGTAAAGGTAATAATTCTAGACCTATTAATTAATATACTTATAGATCCTGGGCTAGAAGTATTTATATAATATTAGTTTATATATTTTAGTTCTTCTAGAATATCTAGTAATAGGATTTTTATAATAGAGTCTTAGTATTTTAGCTTTTATCTTATTATAGTTAAGTATATAAAGTCAGTCTTAATATCTTAAGTATAGATTAATATGTCTATAGTTAGCTAGTATAATATTAGGGTATCTTAGTAGATTATCCTTTAGGATATTTAGAATAGACTAGAGCTTCTTATCTTATAGATAAGCTTTATTAAATAATAATTATAATATTAGTAGCAGGGAGATTAGTTTATTAGTAACAGGTTATTTAGTAAAGTATACTTAGTATTAGCTATTAATATTTAGTCTTAGATTAGTAGTAGTCTCAGGTAATAGGTTTTTAGATTTTAGGATAGTTTAGCTCTAGTAAAGAAATTATTTATCCCCCTCCTTAAATAGATCCTCTAACCTCCTAATTAGTATATTAAGCTTAGCACCTAACTTCCTGGGGTAATAATATATTTAGAAGTTAAATTTTAATAAAAATTTAGACTAGTAGGCTTATTAATAATTTAGTAGCTTAATTAATATAAAATACTCTAGGTTCTAGTAGTCTATAATAACCTTTATAGGTAATAGAATCTCTTCTAGTTTAGGGTACTATTCTTTAAAGTAATAAATAATAACTAATAATTCTTTATTATAAATCTTATAATTATATTCTATTATAGAATATTTCTTAGAGAAAAATATAATAAGGTATAATATATCTTTATTATTATATTATAATAGTACTCTAGTAAATATATAATTAGAGATATTAGTTTCTAGAATTATATTTTTTAACTAATTAAAAGATTTTAGTATTAAGGTATTTATAAAAGTAATTTTTAGTTATTTAAATATTTTTTAGTAAGTAGGTATCTAGTTAAAGTTAATATTCTTTTTAATTAGGTTAACTAATAGTCTAATAATTTTTAAAAAATTATAAATAAATTAGTAGTAAAAGTTCTTAAAGCTAATAAAGATTTAAATATTAATTAAATAGGTTAGTATTTCCTACTTAGTAATTATTTTTACTTTATTAGGGTTTATTTAGAAGCTATCTCTACTTATAATTAATCTTAGGAACTTTATCTCGCGCATGAAGAATTTATATTTATTAAATTTAATATAAAGTCTTACTACTTATAGGTATTCTAAAACTTATTAGATATAATAAATATATTTAGTATAGGTTTAGCTATAAATTAGAATATTATCTAGATATATAATATAAAAGATATCTAGATAATTATATAGGACTTTATTAATAAATCTCTAGAATAATACTAGGACTCTAGTAAGCCTAAATAGTATTATTAAGAATTTAAATAGGCTTAACTAAATTTAGAAAATAATAAGATATTCTTATCCTTTCTTAATCTATAGATTATTAAAAGTAGAGATAATATTAATTTTTAAGAAATATCTTATCCTTTTTAGATTATTTAGTATCTCTTTTATTAGTAATAGCAGGTAATAATCTTTTATAATAATTATATTTAGGGCTTGGTAGTCTATATAGAATTATAGGCCTTCTCTAGGTTTCTTTATAAATAGGATAGGAGATATAGCAAGGGAGAAACTAGAGTAAATAAAATCTTTTTTTAAGTTCTTTTTAATTTATTTCTTTAGAACTTTTAGTTTATCTCAGGACATGCTATACAGGCTCCTAAAAGATAGGGTTTTTCTAGGTAGTAATTTAATCTTATAATTATTAGATTAGTAAGGTAGTAGGTACTTAGCCTCCTTTAGTAAGAATATATTATAAAATTTAGTAAACTTAAGAGGTAGTTACTCTTGCAGCTTAGATTTAGTAATAGTAATAGGATTTAGAGTAACTTTAATATTAGTAATAGTAGTAGCAAATATCTAGTATCTATAGCAGGTATATATAGTATAGGTAGTAATTAAGACTCTAGTAATATTTTAGTTCTTTAAAGGTTTAGGGCAGGAATCAAGGCATTAGGGAGAAGCTTTTAATAATATATTATATAATATTAAAATCTTTATAGGCTTTAAAGGCATATTATAGTATTTCTTATAATAAGAGTTTTTAAATAAAATAGTATAATTAGTAAATCTAATCTAAGGATTATAAGTCTTTAATTAAGGCAAGCTAAGAATAATAAGAAAGTATATAAGTTAGATTATAAGAAAAATAATATTCTTTTTAGTATAATTATAGATTCTTTAGATTAAATAAATAAAATAAGTAATATTATTAAACTTTACTAGAGTACTATTAAATCCCCTTAGCAGGATAGAATTCTTTAATAGTAGTATCTCTAATTAGTTATTTATAGCCTAATCATAATCTATAAAATATTTACCTTTAACTCTAGAGTTAATTATAGTAAAGGTTAGTAGAATCTTATTAGGGGTCTCCAGGTTAACAGGTAGGATTATTAGTTTAAATTAGTAACTTTCCTCCTCTACTATTATTCTAGCTATCGCAGCCTTTAATAGGTAGAGGGAGTACCAGGGGTGTCCCTGATTATAACTTAGATTAGGGATACTCTATTTTCTAATTTAGGGGATATAGGGTATTTAGTAGGCAGGGTTCTAGTTAAGAGAGAGTACAGGTCTAGTTTAGCAGCAAATATAGAGATATAGCTAGTTGGTCTTTAGTTAGGGTACAGGTAGCTACCTACTAGGTAGTCAGCACTACCACAGCAGTAACACAGGCATTAGGTTTGATAATCAAGGTAATAGATAATAGACAGGTCTATTAGGTCTTTAGTAGGAGCAGCAATAATAACAAGATTAATAGAGACTACAGGAATTTAGGTAGTAGGAGTTAACTTTAAAATAGATTAGGAAGGCTAAAAATTCTTTATAAATAAAGGTAGGGTAATACTTATATAATAATAATAATAATTTTCTAGATTTTATAGGTAATTAATAAAGTTATAATATTATAATAAGGCCTTAAAATATATTAATATCTCTTAAAGTTCTTAATTAATAGCCTATTCTAGAATTATAGGCAAGATATCTTTATTTATATTCTTTTTTAATATAAGATATTAAAATTTAGTAAAAAAGATACTAAACTTATAATAGATTTATTAAAGGTAGAATAGATTAATATAAGTATTAATTTTTAAATTTAAGTTTCTAAAAATTTTTTCCAGGATTTTTAAAATCTTAATATAATTACTTAGTTTATAGATTTTATTTTAGATATATAGCAAGATTTAGGTATATAAGGTTTCTTTAAGGTAACTAGTTATATAAGCTATTTTACTATT